CCGTGCAGGTTCTGGTTCAAAACCGACCAAGGTTGCTCTCGAGGGGCTCGCTGCGGCTTCTCACACTCGATGGAGGGCATCACCGACAAGGATAAGATCGGCCGATGCCTCGCGTGCTCTGGAAAGGGCCACTCCGCGGCGTCCTGTCCTACGAAGACCGTTGACCAGGAGAAAGGAAAGGGCAAAGGCGAAGGCAAGGGTGGAAGAAAGGGCAAGGAGCCCGCAACCCCCAAGGCGGCATCGGTGACTACAGCGGCTTCTACGTCTTCACCATCCTCTACTGCGGCTGCGTCTTCCCTTCCTACCGTTCCTCCTGAGATCAAAAGTCTCCTGGCCGAGACCAAGGAGATATTGTCGGCTTTGACTTCGTCGCCGGCATTGAAGCCTCTAAGGCTCCTGGGCACGGAGATCAAAAAGGTACAGGCACTGCTTTTGGACAGCGGCGCCACCCACTTGCTACGACAAGCCCGTAACCAGGAGGAGATCAACAAGGCCAACCCGGTGGTTACGTTGGCGGGAGATGAAGGAAAGGTACTACATCAAGCCACCTCCGGCACCATCCTCACCGAGCCCGGCGTCGAGCCACCGCAACCCATCATACCGTTGGGACAGCTCACATGAAGTTCTGGGATGCAAGATCCACTGGGCAAAGGGCCACTGCAAGGTGGTTCATCCGACTATGGGAGCGCTAAAGGTGCGACTTCGAAACGGGCGCCCTAAAGTGGTTTGCCAAGCGCAGGCCATGGAGCTTGTTATGGAGTTGGAGAAGAAGCTCCTGGAGAAGAACACCAAGGAGTTGGAGTCAAGACTGTTCTCCCTGGCTGTGGACGAGGATCGGTGTTGGACGGACTACCTCAACGGCTACCTCATGCATGGAGCTGTGGAAGATGGGTGGAAGTCTGTGTTTTCGTGCCCGGCCCTCAACCCCTTCGACGATGTGGACAAGACGGGTTTGGTGGTGAATTGGGACCCGAAGAAATATGATGTATGGTCTTCAATGAAACGTGCGCTACCACTACCACGACGGGTGCGAAAGCGGCTGTTCTCCTCCAGCTCCTGGGTTGTGGCCTTCACTAGGGACAAGAGTCGCAAGGACCCGATCATGAACGGCAACTACGGCGACGCCACGGTGCTTCGGGTGGACTATGAGATGGAGCAAAATATGGAAGTCCTGAAGCTCCTTACCTGGGCGGTGGCAGCTGGGCGAGTGGTGTCTGTAGTGGGCACGGATGAGCCTGTTCAAGCTCGGTCCTTGGCTTTACAGACCTGGGTCTATGTCATGGCAAAGACGTTTGGGTGTGGTGTTCTCCGAGGAGGGTTTCTCACGACCACGGCCACTGACGAGGACCTTGCCCTCAACCTCACGACGAGCCTTCAAGTGGTTATGGGAATGTATGAAGTTCCGCTAGGGGCTACAAGTGACGGCAAGGAGTGGATTGGCTTCACCGACATGAACGAAATGAGGACTCTCCGGGGAATGGCGGTTTCCGGCGAGGCCCGTCAACCTCTACCTCCCGAGCTACATCAACTACGCCTCCGTCACGCTCTTGCAGGGGTACT